TTTGTAACCCAGAGTTTTCCTGCAGCTAGAGAATTTAGCCTCTGGTGACCATGAAAAAGAAAGCAGTTTGTCAGCACTTCCCCATAGGCTTCACGTTTTCAGACCAGCTTTTGTTTACAGTCTATAGGGAAGGCTAACAAAGAGCAGAAGGGAAACTATCAGGACTGAAAAGGATTAGAAACTAAATCACTAAGAAAAGAAACCAAAAACCATCACACTGTGCAGCTTTGGGGATATTATGCTCAACTCAACTATGTAAGGAGGTTGTTGGATATGTGAGCAACTTTCCTTTCTTTTTAGGAGGAATTCTTAAATGTGAAACACAAAAAAGTGTTTTACATCTCTAGTGAATATACTTTCATATGACCTTCATGAAGATGTAGAGGTAATATTTCATTTTATTTTGTGTTCTCACATCCACCTAATATGCCAACCTGGCACTGGTCTAGTGCTTGTGCGTTTTGAATCCAAACTGCACGACATCCTGGAGCAAGATTTAAGGCATTAATGTTGGGAGAGTGTAGTTCTGAGAGTATATAAAGAAATATGGATATAAAAGTAGTCTGACAAATTTAATCAAGGTTCTCTGGTGTCATCTGACTTCGTGCCAGACACTGAGAGACTCTGAGGTCCTGGCAGAAGCTTTGATTTTAGTCCTGCTATTTATTTGACAGCTAACCTTGAGAGACTAAGCCAAAGATCTTTAATTGAAATGATAAGTAATGATATATCTCCACTCAAAAACATTTTTAAAAAAGCAATTAATGAGTGCATGTACTTGCTTAGAGTTGTTAATTAAAGCAGTGTTTCTGTGATGCTGCAGTGAATGGAGCAATGAAAAAACGCTAAAACTAAAATTTGTATCTTGTACTCTTTTTTTGTTTCCCCTGCAGAAATAAAACTGATGAACTCTAGATTCACAACACTATGAATAACCTTAAGGCTCTGTGCCAACGCTGGCTTCTGTTTAATTTCCACCAAAGGGTGTCTGTCCTCCAGTTCAACCCCATCAACAGGCCTAACGTGGGGTCTTGTTCCAGTACATCTGGAGAGATGTCTGCCACAGCAGCAGCAGCAGCAGCAGCCAAGGCTTTAATGGCTCTGCCGAGGAGAGAAAGACGGGTGCAAGGCCACCGGTGGCTGCATCCTTCCCGTATATATGAGATTGAAAGAGGGGGAGGGTCTGTAGCAGGAAACCTTGAATCTGGTGAGTAACACAAGACATGCTGGAGATGGTAAATAGGACCTTGTGACTGGTCTGCAGAGTCAGTTACTGGTATCGATTTCCAATATGTCAGTGTTGTTCTCATTTTTTTCCCCCCAATCACAGTGTTAATTTGTTAGAGTGGTAAACAAGATGTGTCCCGTTTCCTTAGAACTGCAGAATGGTCCTGTTTTATTTATGCTGTGTATTTATAACCTTTAGGCAAACAGTGAAAACAACTTGTTTCTCCAGGCCTTGATGTGTAAATGATGGTGTGAAACTGGGGAGGGAGCGGAGTGATGAAACAACCAGTGGAAGTGCAGCAATACCCTGCTTCATGCGCCGCAGCAGCTTCACTGGTCGCCTTCACGTCATCTGCTGCATCATTTGTGCTGTTTGCACAGCTTGTTCCACAACATAAATCACATGCCGATGCTAACCTGCAGTCTCTAGAAAACAGAATGCACATGATTTAAGTTAAGCTTGAGTACGCTTGAGACGATGAGTACTCTGAGATCAGCACATTATTAAGAAAGGGACTCGAAATATCCAGCAGGAGTAATCTTACTGTGACTAATCATCCAACCAGGTAATTGAGGTTAAACTAAATCAAAGCGTGAAATAACAGCAACAATGCCAAAAAAATGAGAAACAAATTGCTGCATGTTAGAGTGTGATTCAAAATTAAGCTCTAAACGTCCTTACCGGCGTTTTTGTTGGGTGACTGATCAGCATTTTTAAAGTTTCAAGGACAGGGGAGGAAGAAATGTTCCACCAGTTAAAGCCAAATGATGAAAATGGAAAAGTATTTGGAGAAAAGTCTAAAAGTTGTTTTTCTAAACTTAGTTTAATCCTCTGCAGCCATCAGCCTTAATCCTAACCTTAACCCTAGGCACTCAGAATATTTGTGTTTTTTAACTGAAATTGTTCTCCTGGGTCATGGCAATAAAGGAACAAGGAATTATTCATGTTTTGTATTAAAAAAGGTTATTTTGGCTTTCTCCAAAATATAAAGTTAGTGATGGGATTACCGTCTATGACTGAGAGTTACAACAAGCTGAAAAAGGAAGCAAAAAGCAAAAGAAATTATTCACAAACCTGCTTCAGGGGGCTTTCTGATCTACACTCACATGCACTTCATTAGGTACACCTGTTTAACCATCCATTCATGCAAACATCTAATCAGCCAATTATGGCTGAAACTCAGTAAATTTGGGCACATAGATGTGGTCAAGGTGACCGGCTGAAGCTCAAACTGAACATCAGAATGGAGAAGAAAAGTGACTTAACCTCAGCATGGAGGTTGATGCCAGGATGGCCGGTCTGAGTATTATGGCAGGAGATAATAATAAAGTTTTACTGATGCAAAAATCTGTATTCAGCTTGCAAGAGTTCACATTTGTGGTTTAAAACTTTGGACTCTTCAACAGCTACTCAGTAACTCAGCTACTAGTAATCTTTTCTATATTAGACAAGAGACTAACTGACTGGCCACACACTGATCGGGAATTAGGCCCATTTAGTTTTTCACTAGCAGGTTAAATTAATAAAAGATTCAAAAAGGCTATTTTAGGAAGTCTTGATTATGTTTCACAGCTATGATTCAGATCTCTTCAGATATGTTATAACAGATTTTTGAGTTCTGATTTGGAGCTTCGTTACAGCTATTTGGCAACAAAAACTTAGCCCAGACAAAAACAATAAAGAACACTTCATTACTTATTTCCTCATGGCCGCTCACAAATATCCAATGAATTGATCACATGGTTGTGACTCAGTATACTCAGGTATGTAAACATGTCCAAGATGACCTGCTGACCTTCTCTTCTCTGAGCTCTCTGGGTGAAAATGCTTTCTTGATGTCTGAAGTCAGAGGAGATCAGGCTGATAGAAAGGCAACGCCAGGGCATGCAGAAGAGCATTTCTGAATACACAACATATCAAAGCCTTGAAGGGCTACAGAAGAGCACACCAGGTCACTCCTGTCAGATAAGAACAAGAAACTGAGGCTACAGTTCACACACACTCATCAATGTTACCCAGTTTAATGAATCTTGATTTTTGCTGCAGCATTTGGATGAACGGGTGAGAACTTGGAAAGCATGAAACCACCGATTCATCCTGCCTTGGCAAGTGTAGGGGATATGTTCTTGACACACTTTGGGCCCTTTAGTACCAGCTGAGCATCGTTTAAACACCACAGCTGGGTTCTTGAGCTTCGCAGTTAGTTCACTGTACTCACATGGCCTCCATCTTCGACATGGAGCCGACAAATCTGCAGCAACGGTGTGTTAAGGAACGTTTCCAGCAACTTTTCGAATCTGTGGCACAGGGAATTAAAACATTCTGAAGGTAAAAAGGCATCCAACCTGGTACCATCACCCTGTACCTTTGAACTGTCCAGTGAGTGCATATTATGTGACAGCTTCATTCCTCTGATCCTACAGATAACATGAAAAGATTCAAATGTTAGAAAAGCAGAACAAAGAATATAAATAATATATAAATAAGGCCTGAAGCATAGAAATACATCCAGGACCCCAGAATGGATACGAGAAACGAATAAAAGCAGGAAGCGAACTGGAAAGAGACGAAGAAATAAAGAAGAATTTGTAAGTAATAGTGCGACATTCTGGAAGATGAGCTTATTTCCTTTCTTGTGAAGATAAACACTGCTGCAGCCAGAAGTCATTTGCAGGAAAGCTCAGTTTTTAAAACTCCCTGTGAAGCTATGAAGCGTTGTTTTCACACACTAATAAGATATGTTTTCATTACTGAGCTTCAGAGGTTGGCTCACAATATTCATTCCTTCTATTTAATTAATCTTATTAAACACATCGTCATCTTTATAATATAATCACATTACTCAGAGCATCAGCTTGTTCGACTGTTTCAAGTCTGAGATGATTACAGGGCGCACGCAGTTTGGAGTGCAACGGCTTTTTATAAAGTTGATATTCGTGTAAAATCTTTTATTGAAAGTTGTAATTGGCAGCTTGTAAAAACCACATTTCCCTTCTGACAAGAAAACAGAATTGAAGAAAAACAGAAGATAAGAAGGGAAGGAAACCAGACTGGAGAAATAGAAAGAAGGAAAAATAAAGAAATGATTGAATGAAAATGCTGAAAGAAAATTAAAGTAATATTGTAATATTTTGGAAAATGTCCTTATTTACTGTGCACGGCAGAGAAATACAGGAACCATCTGCTTTTACAATCCCTCTCTGAAACTGTGACGCGTCCTCTTTGCACTTTGGTTTCTGCACAGAATAAACAGAAAGTAAAACGTGTTAATCACTGAGCGTTAGAGGATTTTCAGCCACGGATGAAGAAAGTTGATGCTTCACTCACAGAGCACGACATCAATAACACAGGTGTGTGTGTGTCTCTCTATTTGGCAGCCATGCATTAACAGTGGCTTGTGTAATAATTTGAGAAGCTGCTAATATGTGAGTCATGAAGATGATTTCTGATGTCACGTCATGTTAGGGCAGAGCGTGCGAGAGAGCAGGAGGACAGAACAGATACTGAAGGAGTGCAAGGATGCTCGTTACCGAATCAGTGTCTAAGAAACTAACAGGTTTGGACTGAGAAAAATTAATCTTGGAAGGCAAAGACAAAGAACCAGTTATGAATCATTTTGTGTGCAAACATTAGAATCTGTTTTTAAACACGCTGTAAATGCACACTGCTGCATTTCTTATCAAATGCTTTGCACAACAGGAGCTTAGCTTCATCTCGGTTTTCTCAACAAGTTCAACAATCGAGAAAATGAAACCAACACTGGACTTGGTGGGAAAAGGGTTTATTTTCATTTACACACTTTAATGTAACACTGTCATTCTTTCACATTTATAATAAACAAGCTATTGTCTTGACTTGATTAATAACTAAAGATGCATGAACAACACAAGTATACAACAGCAAACAGAGTGCCAGCCTTGCATCTCTTTTTTTGTCACACTGTTGCCATCTGCTGGACAAACCAAAGTGGTGATCAAGTCAAAACTCAAAGCTTGAGGCTGAAAATGTGGAAAAAACGTAAAGTGCAAGGCTACTAATGACGCTACATGTTGGTTCAAACTCAAAATTAATTAAAAAATAAATCCTTCATTATCTCTTTTTTTTTTTAAGTGTAAATTTTCCCCTAAAAATAATTTCAAATACTAATTAGGTAACTTTCACCTAAATTCAATTAAGGAATCCAATAAATACAAACATTAAATTAATATTTTTCAATTCATCATCTTCAGCCAAAATGTTACATTTAATTTTGATCATCATTTAGGAAATTATTGAAATTTTCAGGATTATAGATCCATGAATGTTCTCCCAAATTCATAACACACAAAATGCTTCAGTCAATTATCTCAAACAAAATCGGCACAGAGGGAAACATTTTTCTCCAATGATCATTAGGTTAATCAAAATAATAAAAAAAAGATTAATAATTATAAATAATGATGAATAAATGAAAAATAACGGCTGGATTAGGAGATACAAGTGCTGAATCAGTGCAGCTGTGACAGCTGGAGACATGATTAGGAGACAAACGTACAAAACAGAATTAATTTTGTGGTCAAACTTTGTTGACTGCCTTAAGCTTTCCAGCTGGTGGAGCGCTGCACCTTGTAAACCATCCGCTTGATGAGTCTGACTTCAGTCGTCATTTCTCGCTCCAAATGCTCAGAGAAAGCAAACAAAATCGGAGGCACCTCAGAGTTAACAATAATCCAAATTCTCCCAGCGTAGACAACGTTTGTTTGGCTGCTCACAGTAACAGTTCGTGCTAAATGCCATCATATGGCAGGAAGAGACAAACCATCCACAACAACAGAATACTTGTTAATGCTCCACACTGAAGTCTTACATCAAAAGAGTGTCTTCTGCGGGCTCCGGGACACTGTGAGCCACAGGATTTTTTAAAGTTTTATTTAAAGTCGTGTTTCATGAAGCAGGGGCCAAGAATGGCCAGTAAATAGTTTTGGGACACCTACAAAACAAACAAACAAACAAAAAGCACTGCAGGACGATAAAGAGACCAGAGCCTCATCCAACGCAGGAGATGACTGAATCCATAAATGATGTCATTACAGCCGATCACTTTAACTGCTCTTGCCAATCCAGTGCAGGGTTGTGGGGCTGGAGCCCTAACAGCTCCCACAGAGGGGTACAGGGCCTGTCCAGACAACCATACACACTCATTCACAATTAAGGCAAATTTAGAGTTACCCATTTATCTAACAAGCATGTCCTCTGACTGTGGCACAAAGCTGGGGTACCCTGAGGAAGTCCAAGGGCATCCACACAGGGTGCCCCAGAGGGGAAGTGGGTTCAAATCTTTCTGTGGGGCAGCACTGTGGTAACTGCTGCGCCACCGCGCTGCCACAATTCTTAACTTGTAACATAAAATGTCAAGAATCCCAACAAAGATTAATCACAAAAACAAAAAGATAGTCTCGAAACTGTAGACCCAGATGAAGAGAGCAATAACTCTCAGAGCCTCTGCTGTGGCTTTCAGCGACACTTTGACCCTTTCAGACCAAACTCCGTGACTGTGACCACGTTTCTACCCCAAGTGAAATCTCATGTGTCGATTTAAACTTCCCTGCTGAGTAAATCCTTGATCACAAATGGCGCAACCAAACGGTTTCTCTCCTGTGTGAACCGTGATGTGAGACTCCAGGTGCGTTTTTCGGTTAAATTTCTTGCCACAAACATCGCAACCGTACGGTTTCTCCCCGGTGTGAACGATCATGTGCGTCCTAAGGTGGGATTTGCGGTTAAATCTTTTGCCACACACGTCGCAGCCGAATGGCTTTTCTGCCGTGTGGACGGTCATGTGCGTCGTCAGATGAGTCTTCCGTTTAAATCTTTTACCGCAGTCGTCGCACCCAAACGGTTTTTCTCCTGTGTGGGCTATCATGTGTATCTTTAGATTATTCTGATGCCTTGCTCTTTTGCCACAAATATCGCACACAAACGGTTTCTCCCCTGAATGGATTGTCACATGCGTCTTCAGATTCTGGTGATGCGTAAACCTTTTTCCACAAATGTCACAGCCAAATAACTTTTCTCCCGTGTGGACCCTCATGTGTGATTTAAGATTGTACAGGTACTTAACTCTTTTGCCACAGAACCCACAGCCAAACGGTTTCTCTCCCGTGTAAATTTTGATGTGCGAGTCTATGCTTTGCTTCCGTTTAAAACATTTCATGTTATCCAAACAGCCTGAAGAACCATTTTCTGAATTACGTCTGATGTGCCTCTTAAGAGACTGCTTGTAGACAAAATGTTTACCGCACGCAGAGCAGCTAAAGTTTTTTTTCGGAGTGTTATGTCCCGCCTCACTAGGAACGCCCGACTCGAGCTTTCCATTTTCACTGTCTTCAGTTTCAGGTCCAGAATCTGACAACGGGCCCTGCCAATCCTCATCACTGACCTCCGTCTCTGAAGAGTCAGAAGCCCCTTTAACAATATTTGTTTGTAAATGAGTACTGGGATCAGGTTTCCTGGCTAGTTCTAGTGATCTACCGTCCTCTCCATAAGTTTCTATCTTAATCCATTTAGTCAAGCTGCTGCTTGGAGGCTCAGCCGCCGTGCAGTCTTTAGTTTGGCTTTTATGAAGCTGTGAAAAATGAGGTTTCTCTTCATCATCTTCACTCTTTACAAGAATATTGAATGGAAACCCGGTGATTTCAGTCTCCTCGAACCCATTAAGATGCTCTCCCTCCTGACTGGCCCACAGTTCCTCCTGCTCCGTCTTTATGTGGAGGTGTTCCGAGTAATGCTGGTCCCATGGAGCCTCTTCTTTGATCACCACAAGTTGCTGAATATCTGCAGGCAACAATGAAACACGTTTACATCGATAACCGATTTGAAATACACCGACACTCATCCTCAGCAGTTTGAAATCCTTGTAGTGTGTTTTAACTCACACCACGTATTCACTGAGTTTTAGGCTACGTCCACATGCACACGGGTATTTTTGAAAACAGAGATTTTCCGTTTTTGTTTAAAAAAATAAAAAAAAAAATCCCATCCACACGTAAACGCAAAATTAAAGGAAAATGCTGCTAGGAACATGTAAAAGCAACAGGTGGCGATATATTCCTAACCGTGTAGAAATGTTGGCCAATCAGAAGTCTAGAAGCCTTGGTGGGAAAGAGTAAACAAAGATGACGCATAGAAGCAGAACGTCCTATGTGTGGAGGGACAGTAACTGTGTGTATGTCAGCATTTAAACACTGCAGAGAGTAAAATTAACAGTAACAGTATTTTGTTTAAGTCCGCCATTGTAGAAATTTATTTCACCGAAACAAAAACGTGGCGCACAGTGTGACGTCAAAATAGGCGCACACCTTTGACGCTGCGTTTTCTCCGTTTTCCTCGTCCACACGTAAACGCAAAAACGAAGTTTTCAAAAATATCCACCCTAGCAGGCGTTTTTAAAAATCTCCGTTTTCAGTTACCGAAAACACCGTTTACGTGAGGACGAAAGGTGCAAACGCACAGAAAAATCTGCGTTTTAAAAACACCCGTGTACGTAGCCTTAATCAGTCTCTCCGGGCAGCCAGATCCTGCAATTCCTCTACACACACTGTATGGGTCCAATAACCAGCCATTACTTCCAGCTCACGATAAGCCGACAGTTTATGTATTCAGACTGCATCCATCAACTGTTCCAAGTGAGCTAGTGGTGCCCAGAGTGTGAGCCAGACAAACTGGTCCAATTATACTGCACAGCAAAGTATGATGTTAGGAATAGAGTATATCAAGATTTACCAGTCACCAGTTATTCAACTAAAAATACACATCACATTTACAAGTATACACATTTCTATGGGTGAGGATCGTTTCATACTGTTTTAGTAATTATAAACATTACTGCAATGTAATGATCATTGTCTATCTTATATTAAAAAGCATGAGTTAATATCTTGCTAGAACAATAGTAGCAGCTGGGGTTTTTTGCAAATTATACCTTTGCGTGCATGTGTAAAGATGGCGTTTCATGGTCCCTGGCACTGTCATTTTTAAACATGCACGTTCAATTAGGGAACAAAAACATTCAACGATGACAAGGTCATTCAGAATATTTAGGTAGTCAGGTGACCTTAGTGTTTGAACACATTGTTTCTGAACTAACCCACTAAAGCAAGCTTAGACCTTAACACTATCCAGCTGGTTGCATATAGTAGAAGGGCCGATGACAGGTGCATCAACTAATCAGCCTCTCTTCACCACCAGATGCAGCCATCACTCAGGATCAGGTAAATCTGGACTTAGACCACATGACCTTTTTCAATCAGTATGCTCTCTACCAAACTGAAGCCCTTTTTAGTGGTTTTCTTAAAGCTCAGCAGCTGTTTAGTCCCCATCCCTTGAATACTCTTTCCATTGTGCATGTGGAAATGCTATTTAACTATTAAAACACAGCCGAGAGTTCCACTGTTGATTTTTTTTTTCCCCTCAATCTGACTTCAAACGCTTCAGTCATCTCCTGTCACGATCATTCAAGATTTTTTGGAGAAGATTGTTCACCACTATATCCTTCCAGGTTTTAAAAGAAATGCATCAGAGAGATCCTGTGCCACTTTCAGTCATTTCAGTCATTTTCTCTGCTTAATTCAGGGCAATCTGAAGCTGAGTAACATCTGTTCCACAAACATAGATCTACATCTTCTGACATGGTGGTTTAAACAATGAGAAGCTCCAGTTTGCTCCACACGGCTAGTCTGCCAAGACTTAGTTTTCTAAAACAAAGTCTGAACTACAAGCTAACTTTGTACCAGGTTACATAAAAATTACTGCAAACCTAACCTCCACAGAAGGTTACGGTCAAGATATGGGACATACAAAACCACCACCAACTGGAAAACAGTGCTGTTTCTCAGATGAACGGATGATCTCAGATGGACCTCAGTCTGAAGATTGTAAAACCAACTTAAACTTTGTTTTTCCCTGATGACCAAAGAAATAGTTTATTTTTCTTTAAACTTTAAATCTAATTAATTCTTCTATAAGACTCAATATGGTGATCTAACCCTAACATAGAACTTTTATTTCTTGAAATTAAAAAAAAACAAAAACTTAATTCCAAAAAGGTTTGGATGTTATTTAAAATGCAAGTAAGAAACATAATGCAACCATATTTCTTTTTTGTAACCCAGTGGGAGCAGGTTAGTAACATGATTGGTTATAAAAGAACGTCTTAGAGAAGCAGAGTTTTTCAGAAACTTTGGAACTTTTTTTAGAAGAATGTAAAATTTTGGAGAATTTGAACATCTCTGTGCACAACGCAGAGTCTGAAAATCTATATTGGGTTCCTTTCAGCTGTTGAATGTATACAATTTTTTTTCCAGAACTGGTGACCACGCAAAGCATGCACAGATTAATAACTGTGCTTTTCCCATCACACTTACACACTGTGATCTGTGTTGCATCTAACCTCTTCCTACTTTTTCCCTAATACTACAGTTTGCTCTTCATTGTGAAATACTCTGCTTTGCTGCAGACACACACGGACTTTGACTAAACCATTGCAACAGCCATTCCACTGCAGATTTTCTTTTGTCCTACCACATGACCCAGTTTCAGCCAAGCTTTAAGCCATCACACAAATGGGCTCATATTTGACTTATGGCCTCCTACGACTTATGGTTCGTATTTGACACATTGCTTCAGAATAAAAGGCGTTAAACAGACTGAATATAACTTTAAAGATCTTACAAACCCACAGCACACTAACGTGTACTCACTATGAACAGTGCTTTTTAATACTACACAGTGTGTGTGAGGTGTATTACGTGTTCAACCTCTTCTTCCATTTTCTAATGTTAGTTTGCTCTTTCTGAAATGCGCTGCTCTGCTGTAGACATGTCTGTGTTTGCGTTTTGTCATGCACGGCACACAAAGGCACCATTATGTGAACATGTTCGTGGCTGGTTTGCCAAACCCTGTGTTGGTTTAACAACCCGATAAAAGCCTGTGCTCGTAGAAGCATGTATGGCAGCGCTAACTTTAAGTAATCATGTTCTGTATGACTTTATCAGGCTCACACTGTTGTGGAGGAATTCTCGCCCACTCCTCTTTACTGTGTTGCTTCAGATCATTGAGGTTTGCAGGAATTCATTTATGCACAGCTCTCTTAAGGTCCCACTACATCATTTCAATCAAGCTGAAGCCTGGACTTCAACTAGGCCATTGCAACACCTTTCTGCCCCCTTTTCCAGCCAGTCTGTTGCAGATTTGCTGCTGTGCTTGGAATCACTGTCCTGTTATATAACCCAGTTCAGGCCAAACTTCAGCTGTTAGACAGGTGACCTCACGTTTGACTCCTGGATGCTACGTCGCAACTGCTGTGGAGGCAGTTTTTCCACATAGTGCTTCTACATGTAGGCTAAGTTTCTGAAACTGTGGACTACGTCACGTGTTGCTGTTCACGTCAGACATAGACTGAACACCTGCTAAGGAGCACACGGGTTTTTATTACGCCCTGATATGTTTAAGCTGTGAATACAGTCAGGCGTATTATAAAACAAGTTCTGCATAACCTGGATTTCTGTATGTTAGCCGGCTTGAGAAGACCTAAAACCATAGTCATGTCAGTCAGAGATGCAAGAGGAACACGTGGTAGGTAGATAGAAAGAATATCAAAATATTAACAGAAATAAGTAGATGTGGCAATCACCAGCAGACACTACACAATGCTGTATTTTCACAATAAAACAACATTTGAATTTTTTTATATTTTGCGATATGCCGAGTACTGCAACAACATATTTCAATTCATCGCCTTTTTTAACTGCAAATTATGTCGCCAAAGTTAAACTTCGTCAATATCAGTTTTATCTAATAAGACAAAGTTTATCTCGCTTCAATTATTAATTAGTCTGCAGCTAAATGGAGTCAGGTTGGCAATTGCATGTAATAAATTGTCAAGAATCACACGTCTGTGGACTCAAGTCCAAGTCAGACTGCAACTGTTTGCAGAAAGGTTTCCTCCAATCAGACTACCCGTGACCTTGGAACCAAAAGTGGTCATGAGTGCAACAACTTCAAGCTCTGGGCAACCAGAATATGCAGAATGTGAAAAATACAAAACACAATCACTATTTTTGTAGATGTAAAGAGGTTGCTGTCTCATTTGTACTCATGTGACTGAACGATTAGCTTACCCTGAAGTACGAGGTAGATCTGTCAAGTTAAGGGTCCAGTGTTGGATGGTTTTTCAGTTGAGCCAATTTAATGCATGTTTAACAAGTATTTTAATTAATTTCATAAAATATTGATATTTGGGGTCCCTGTAACGATGCATCGACACCACACACCTGTGTATAGGCCACCCTAGCACTGCAAATAAGTCAACAGAGCAAAACATGGCAAAAAACGTATTTCTCATGCAACAGCTGCACATCACAGAAGTGATACTTTGAGCCTGTTGCTCATTTAAATGTATTATATTCAGGTTTGACACTGTTATCACTTTCTCTTGTTGTGAGAACCAACTATAATTATTTGGCTTATTTAATGTTCTTGGTAATAAACACCCCACACTACAGACTCTTTATGCATGCACAGAAGCAATGCATGAAAAACTGGGCACATCCTTACTGCTTAGTAGGCTGCAGCCAGGAGTCAAATGTGAGGCCATCTGTCTGACAGCTAAAGCTTGGTGTAAACTGGGTCATGCAACAGGACAACGATGCCAAGCACAGCAGAAAATCTGCAACAGAAAGGCTGAAAAAGGGAAGAATGGACATGTTGCAATGGCCGATCAAAGTCCAGACTTCAGACTGACTGAAATGCTGCGGCGGGACCTTAAGAGAGAGCTGTGCATACATGAATGCCGCAAACCTCAATGAGCTGAAGCAATGCCCTGAAGGAGAGTGGGCCAAAAATTCCTCCGAAGTCACACAACAGCGACTTCAAGTTATTTCTGCTAAAGGTGGTTTTTGCAGCGGCTGAATCATGGAGTGCATTTAGTTGTCCACAAACTGTTTCTTCATTTGGGTTCAGATTTTTGTTCAATAAATAAACGACACGGTGTAATATCGGTTGCTATCCATCTCAGGCTGTTTTTAAATCATTTTAAAGACCCGTTAGGGACCTGATTGTGTCTTCATATCAAACATCTTAGATTAAAACCAAATTTATCCAGCCCTACGGCGAGCTAGCAGCTAGTTAGCGGTTTTCTCCAAATAAAATCTGAGATTATTCTCACCATCTGCTCGGTTAATATCAGCATCCTGCAGCTGATGGAGTCCGAGCGGTTTGATTTCTGGTTTTTCTTCAAACGGCAGGCTGTCAGCGGCGTACTGCTGCAGATAATCCACTTCGTCCATGCTGTCAGCGGCTATCCTCTTCTTTAAAACAAACTGTGGGCTCCTTTCAGACGAACCAGGCCTGCGCGGAATCGACTTCCGAACACAGACGCGATGTTTGCATGTCTGTCCGGACCTGATGCATGAATGTGTCACAGACACGGACTCCAACAGGGCGTCCACTCTCCTTGACTTCTTTTTTGGGGGAAGATTTGTTGACGTGTCTCCTGCGTTTTCTGAGCAGGCATCCGCTCGGGCACCTTTATCCCAGGTCACCGCAGCGACCACGAGATTTAAAAAAAAATCACAGCTGTGGGGAAACCTGCAGATTTATGAATCCTGTCACAGCGTGGGACTTCACTGAGAAAATTAAAATTCATTGTACCTGACAGGAGTACTTTGTAACCAACCTCGTGATATTTCCTTTAAAGTTTTGTATCCACAAATTAGATACAAAACTTTTCTAACTCTAAAAAGAATTTTATGGCTTCTAAAAAAAGAAATAAATAGAACCATAGGTCAAAAGTGTTTTTCGCAGGAAAGAAGTCTGTTTAAAAATGTCTTCTGGCATTTAACATTTATTTATGTTAACATTTATTTTTCTAGATATATAAATTAGCTTATCGTTAGCTTATCTTTTGCACTTTTAATTTCTGTATGTTAATTTCATTACAACAAAATTCTGTCTTAAATGAAAGGGTTAGGTTTCATATTGAATCTTAGATAAATCCAGTTGTGGCTTTGAGCCTCCCTTGGAAAGTTGATCATTTGGTTTCTTAAGAGTAATTAATTTGAAATAAACATCATGATATTTATTTATTTATTTATTTATTTATTTATTTATTATTTTTTGGGTTGGTTGGTTGATTTATTTTTAAATCCTTTATTTAAACAGACAATCACATTGAGCTCAGTGTCTCATTTTCAAGAGCTACGAATACTGTATACAACACAGGCAGACACATAATACACTGTCCTAAAAACTTAAAAGAGCACTTTTTAATCGGAGTATAGAATTAGTTAATCAGTTAAACATCTGGGATATAGAGGGGCAATGATGAGACAACCCCCCAAACAGTTATGGTGTTACAGGTGGAGGCCACTCTCATTTTTTCTGACTATTTTTTTCAATAGTTTTGCATTTGGCTAGGATCAGTGTCACTACTGGTAGCTTGAGGCGATATTTGGACCCTAGAGAGGTTGCACAGCTAGTCCAAATCCTCCAGGATGGCACATGAATATGTAGCAGTGCTAGAAGGTTTGCTGTGTCTCCCAGCGTGGAGGAGACTCCAGGAGACAGATTGTTACTCTAGGAGAACTGGACAGGGAAGTAGGGGGTCCTTAAACCAGTATCTTCTGACTGATTAGATTAATTTAGATGTACTGATGGGGAAGGCAGATGATGGTTCTGGAGGGCAGAAGGGGTGGAGTGTGGGAGGACAAGTGAGTATTCCAGTATGAGTACTGGACTGGAGAACTAGGAACCACTTACCAACAAGTAATAAGGTTTGGAAACCTGAGAGGCAAAGAGTGAATGTTTCAGCTGGGCTTTTATTCCAGAGGGGTGATGAGAAAATGGGAAGCAGATGTGCAGGCTGGACCAGAAAGTAGGGCAGCTCCACCCATGGGTGGTACAGTGAGCCAAGGCACTGCCCCTACTCCACCTGAGAGCAAGACAGAGAGAGAGGGGGGAAAGAGGAACAAGGGAGAACAAAGGAGAACAGGCTGCTGAAACCAGGACATGTTTTTTCTCTCAGGTCCTGTGTCCAAATGTTTTTGGCTAAATATGAAAAACTGGATATTGCCAGAGACCATAAAAGACTTAAAGAACACCTAATATGGTGACGATCTGTAGTCTCTGTGTGGGTATAGTGTTTGTTTGCTCTGCTGATGCATTTTTAATGGAATCATCTACAACACTGTCTAAACATTTTTTTCAGAAGTTCTCTGCTGTGGTGATAACATGTTTTATTTCTTATCCAATATATTTAACTTTTTACACCAATGGACACTGTTTACATGATTTCTAAACCTAAAATGTAAATATATGTGTTCTCACCTGTGCCTCAGGTGGAGGTATTTGGCTCAGCTCACTTTGAAAACCAAGCTGAGAAGATATTCATACTGTCAGTGATGTGCAGTTGGGCATGGGTTGCACTCACACAAGGTATGTCCACAGAAAAGAGGTTATCAACTAAACTGTTCAGTAAGACCCATTAGATTTAGATCTAAAATAATACTGCAACAAGTAATTCCATATCATTAAACCTGTATATGGGCCACCTTTACAGGTCACACAACAAATTGAAACATAAACAACCTATTTTAAACCACACCATGAACCAGCAAGCAAGCATAAGTACAGCCATAGACCCACAATACACTTAGAGAAATGTAGCCACAGCTATAAAAGTGCTCAAATATGTCTTAAAGTTGAAATTCTACAAAGCAGGAGAGACATTTTCTGTAGAAGTACAAATAACAGCACAAAAGCTGGGGTCACTTACTATGACCCCTCTATATGGCCTCTCCATAACTGAAAACACTGCAGCTGTTTATGGCCATTTCTTCACCTTTCTTCATGATGTAATAATTTATAAATCAGAAAAGGGGTTGAAAAAGAACCTGAGACGTTTCTGCAGGGAAAAGAAACATTCAACACAATGATTTTAAAAACATACAAATCAGAATCAAATGTGCAAAGAGGTAGAGTTGGCTCCAGATCTTTGAGTTTGACACCTGTAATATAGGTAGTCTCAGTTTGTGAATGACTGACAGCTCACAGCATAAAAAAATAACATCACAGAATAATCAGATATCATCTGAAGCAAAGCATCATAAATACCCACCATCCTGGGTAAGTTCTTTTTTTATTATAAACTTTAAAATACACACATAAAAAAGTTTACAAATACGATGAAATCACGTACTTCTTACTGATACAGTTGCTGATTTTACAAGCATGGAAGTGCAAATTATTATGTGTGAATACGCATGTGTCTCTTTAGATTCCCCTGTCTCGTAAATCTTTCGCCACAAACACCACAGGAGAACGGTTTCTCCCCTGTGTGAACACCCGTGTGTCTTTTAAGTGTATACTGATGTCTAAATCTCTTCCCACAAACGTCACACCCGAATGGCTTCTCTCCTGTGTGAACTCTCATGTGACTCTTCAGAACCCCCTGCTCGGTAAACTTTTCACCACAAATGTCACAACCAAAAGGCCTCTCTCCCGTGTGGACCCGCATGTGTCTCTTAAGATGCGTATTTCGACTGAATGTTTTACCGCAGTCATCACAGGAAAATGGTTTCTCTCCTGTGTGAACTCCGCTGTGCCGTTTAAGACTCCCCTGCTCTGTAAATCTTTCACCACAAACATCACAACCAAATGGTTTTTCTCCTGAGTGGACTCTCATGTGTCTTTTAAGGTTGTACTGAAGTCTAAATTTTTTTCCACAGGCATCACAACTGAAGGGCTTCTCTCCAGTGTGGACTCTGATGTGGATCTTAAAGTGTGTCTTCTGGCTAAACTTTTTACCACAAAATCCACAGTCAAATGGTTTTTCTCCCGTGTGGACGGTCATGTGTATATTAAAATGTGTCTTCCGGCTAAATGTTTTCCCACAAATGCCACATCCAAAGGGCTTCTGTCCTGTGTGGATTCCTCTGTGCCTCTTCAAACTCCCCTGTTCTGTAAAATGTTTACCACAAATGCTACAACTAAATGGTTTCTCTCCCGTGTGAACTCTGGTGTGTGACTTGAGATTTGACTGATGGATAAATCTTTTTCCGCAAACATCGCAAGCAAAGGGTTTTTCTCCAGTGTGAATTCTCATATGACTCTTAAGAACCCCCTGCTGTTTAAATCTTTTGCCACAAAAACTGCAATCAAATGGCTTCTCTCCCGTGTGGACCCTCAGGTGTCTCTTTAGATCCCCTTGTCGGGGGAATCTTTTACCACAAACGCCACAACAAAATGCCTTCTGTCCTGTATGACCTCTCCTGTGTCCCTTTAGATTTTCAGACTGGCTACATTTTCCATCACAAACTTCACTCCCGAGTGCACTGCTCTCCTTCCAGCTGTTATCACTGTCTTCAGTTTCAGGTGCATAATCTGACAAAGGTTCCTGCCAATCTTCATCGTCATTATTACTGACTTCTGTCTCAGAGGAGTCTGAAGTTTTTTCATCAGTTTTTGGTTGTAAATTACTTTTTAAGTCTGTGCCATTGGTTGATTCTGGTCCTCCACAGTCCTCTGCACCAGCTTCAGCTTTTATCTTTTCAGCTGAGCAGCTGCTCGGAGATTCTGCCTCTGTGCAGTTTCCAGTTTGGCTCTGATGAATATCTGAAGACTCAGGTTTCTCTTCATCATCTTCACTCTTCACAGGAACAGCAGTGAACAGGACACCTGTGATTTCAGCCTCCTCCTGCCCATTATGCGGTCCTCCCTCATGACTGGTCCAGATTTCTTCCTCTTCCTCCTTTATGTGGAGCAGCTCTCGATCCTGCTGGTCCAAACTGGGAGACCATTCAGGAGGAATTTCTTCTTTAACTACAAACAGCTGCTGGACTTCGGCAGAAGACACTGAAACAGACAAGTTCAACTGTCACCCCAAATTTTTATTTATTATTTTTTTTAAAAAGTCTACATTTTTCTAATAATACCGTAGTCAGAAAAACATGATGTGAGCAAAACTGTAATGCTGCATGATTATTTATCAGAAAAAACTAAAATCAAATACAATTTTAAACAATTTTAATTAAAAAAATAAAAATAAAAAGTTATCAGAGGGCACAGATAAGGCAGGAGCATTGTTTGTTTGTAAAAGGTGTGCTACAGCTTTTTATGACTGCAGACTCGTCTGCAGGACAAGGACAAGGACGACTTCAGGGAAATGTGACAGGAATGCTCATCCTTGGTGTCTGTAACCGAGTCTCCCTCGGCCATTCTTTTCTACTTGGATGGTTTCCCTTTCCTTCGCTCACTTTTTCTCTGCTGTGGTAGAAAAACATTAATAAATAAAGTGTAACCACAACAGCTCCAGATAATTCTTTGGTTTTATGTCTCACCAGCTGGTCTGTCAACCCTAGTCCACTATTTGACCTGGATTAGTGATTGACTCTCTTGAATTTAACTTCTTCTAAATGCCAACAAGACAAAGACCATGACTACAGCTCCTCCTGAATTATATCCTAAAATCTGTGGACTCTGTGGACTCTTTTAAAAAGCAGTTAAAACCTTTTCAACTTCTTATTGGTTTTTATGCAATCTTCACTTCATGTTGTCTTGACTTAATATATACATATTTGTTTATTTGTTTGCTGTTTCAGCACTTCATTTTCTTATTTCTTTTACTTTATTTAGTTGTACATCACTTTGTAACCACTAAACCCACACGACACACACTGGACAGGTTATGGTTATCAGCTGACTGAGGAACATCTCTGGGGAGAGGAGTGGTCTGGAAATCTGTGCTGCTGATGTTGTGCCAAAAAATGATCATCTGTCAGAATCGATGCCTGTATTTAAACTGCTGTAAATTACTTGTTTGCTTATAATCTGAGACAAATTTGTCAAACATATACATATTTCTCATGATGATTAAAGCTGCAATAGGTATTTTGCAAAGTGACTTTTATATTTTTTTTTCTTTATCCAGCTAAAAAGTCTCATTGACATAAAAAATTCCATTTTTAAGTTGCAATTTTATATATAAATACAGACAGACAGACAGACAGACAGACAGACAGACAGACAGACAGACAGACAGA